GCCCGCCTCAGCGCCCGCCTCAGCGCCCGCCTCGTCCATATCCTGTCAGCCAGGGGCTGCTCTATTTGCAAGCCTTTCAGCCGGTGCTTTTTTGAGAATTATATATTATTTTGTTGTCATTTCACTATTTATATTATCGGTGGGGTGTGATGCTGTATTCAGAAGTCTGCTGTGTTGAGAAGTGCAGACATGGAGCTGACCTCTCCCACCTCAGCTGGACTGTTTCCTTGTTTGTCTGTCTGTCTCTGATTTTGATTCACTCTCTCTCACCCTTAGACGTGTGGGGTAACAAACGTGATGAGCGCGGAGCCTACTTGATCGACCGTAGTCCTGACTACTTTGAGCCCATCCTAAACTACTTGCGTCATGGACAGCTGATAGTCAATGAGGGCATCAACCTGCTAGGTAGGAATCAACCAGGGCACTGACTCACATGGCCATGAACCAAGCAGGATGCTAACGAATTTGGGAATGATCAGTGAGGAGACTGAGAAACATAGACACACCACACACCACAGCGCACCACAGGGAAATGTGTCCTCTGCATTTAACCCATATGTTAAGTAGGGAGGGGGTTCCAATGCTGGGGAGCTAAACATGGAAATGCACGGTCATCATAGCCTTGGAGTTTGGAAGGGGGAATGAGGAGAGAGTCAGAAGAGGATCTAAGAGTGCAGGGAGGCTGGTAGGGGAGAAGCAGTTCAGAAAGGTATGATGGGGCTTGGTTATTAAGAGCTTTGAATGCCAGGAGAAGTGTTTTAAAATGGATGAGTTCTTTTATAGGGAGCCAGTGCAGGCTCTGAAGTATGAAAGTGATGTGTTGGTAGGAGTGAGTGTGGGTGAGACGGCAGAGTTCTTGACTATCTGGAGATTCTGGAGAGGTTTATCAGTGATACCAGGGAGTAGTGAGTTGCAGTAGTTAACTCAGCAGCAGAGTTAAAAAGGCCGAGCCTGCGCCAGGCGGTGTGGTGCCTGTTCCGGTACTCGAGTCCGGTGTCCAGTTCACATTTGAATGGACTTGTTCTTTCACAAACTCGGGTGATTTCTGATCTTTGTAACCGATCTCCAAACAAATATAGTGTAATTCAGGACATCCTGAGTAAACAACCTGCAGCTTTTTAAATGTGGAGATTAGTCTGACAGCACTGTGGAGACATTTTGGCCCACTCTACGGAATTGTTTTGTTTCAGCCACGCTGGAGGGTTTGACTATGAACTGTCCGCTTAAGGTCCTGCCACAGCATCTCATTGTGGTTCAAGTGAGGAATTTGACTAGGCCACTCCAAAACCATAATTTAGTTTTTCTTTCCCCAGCCATTCAGAGGTGGACTTGCTCTTGTGCTCTGGATCATGGTTGTGCTGCATAGCCCAGTTGTGTTTGAGCTTCAGGTCACGTACCAGACATGTTTCCATCAGTACTTTATGGTAGACAGCTGAGCTCAGTCGCTCCCACACCACAGCCAAAACATCCCCATACCTTCACATTACCTCCACCATGTTTGACTGTGGCCATGATCTTCCTTGTGTAGAAAGCTCTGTTAGCTTTACAGCAGATGCAGCGGGACTCATGTCTTCCAAGTGGTTCCACTTCTCACTTTTCAGTTTATTGTTTTTTAATTCAGATTCATGGTGAATTTTCTGCACTCAGATGCCCAGCTCCAGTATTGGATTTGGTCGCCACCCCAACTTTGACTTCATTGTTAAAGATAGGATCTTACCTTCAATGCGATTAAGGTGGACTTGAACACAACATGGCTGATATGTACACATGTATGTGCATGAAGACTAACAAGCTCGCACACAGGAACAGCTGTGTGTACCCAGTGTGTCTGACTTAGTATTGTCCTTATCTGATCTGTGGTGTTGAATGTCTAATAATTGCTCATTTGCTGAATCAGACTGACTTGCTGGTGTTTCCAGGGGTTCTAGAGGAGGCCCGATTCTTTGGCATTGAGCAGCTGGCAGAACAGCTGGAAGGGGTGATAAAGGTGAGCTGCTGAAATCTCAGACACCCTTGTGTCTTTTGCCACTTGTGAGACAGGCCTGCGAGAGACAGGTCTGCGAGAGACAGGCCTGCGAGAGACAGGCCTGCGAGAGACTCTGAGGAAGAACGCGGGTGACTCTAAATTCAGACCTCGCTTTGTGCAGAATTCCCAGCCTCCAGAAGACCACTCCCCCATCTCTCGCAAGGAATTTGTGCGATTCCTGCTAGCGACACCCACCAAGGCAGAACTGCGTTGTCAGGTACCAGCATCAGCAGGCCTTCCATTGGCTGTGGACAGCTCTTGATTAAAACAGGAACATCGTTTACTGTTATTAGCCTGTGCTTTAATGGGATGTTTGTTGAAGAGGGGCCCAGCTGTCATATGTTTTAGAAGCGTGTTTTGAATCTCTCCAGTACAATCCAGCTGTTTGTGGGGGAATCTGTAAGCCACTTTGGATATTAGTGGCAATGAAGAAACAAAGGGATACTTGCTTAAGCACTCTGCCACCTTAAGGATAGGTTAATGATGTAATGAGGGTTAATCTTCTGTAGTAATGGTACCCCGTCCGCCATAGTTACAGGACCTAGTTTGTTCTGGATCTAGCTGCACATACTGTTTCCCTTCCTTTGTGAGGAGATGTTCAATCCTTCCAGGGTCTGAACTTCAGTGGTGCAGACCTGTCCCGTCTCGACCTTCGCTATATCAACTTCAAGATGGCCAACCTGAGCCGCTGCAATCTCACGCATGCCAACCTCTGCTGTGCCAACCTGGAGCGAGCGGACCTGTCCGGTGCCAACCTGGATGTAAGGAATTGTGACTGATCTTTTAAGTAGCGACTATATTCATAACTTGTTCATAATTTGTACTTCAGAAGTAGCTGAGATATTGCTAAGCATTTGTGCCCTGTCAAGTAAAGTGTTACCAAAATTGATCTGAACACCCCTTGCTAATAACCTGACAGTATTGTTCTTTGTGTGGGTGTGTGTCTGTGCGTGCGCATGGATGTGCCTCTAGAATGCCAATTTGCAGGGTGTGAAGATGCTGTGTTCCAATGCAGAGGGAGCCTCACTCAAAGGGTGCAACTTTGAGGACCCTGCGGGCGTGAAGGCCAACCTAGAAGGTAAACGGTGAGCTTCTCTCGTTTCACCTCTTCTAGAATAAATGCCTGTGATTACTATTTAATGACCATTTAGTGTTTTTACGCTGCACTTGGCAGCCCATCAATCGAAATCATTTGCAAAACACTGTTTCTGCGGACATTTGGTTCAGACTCCGTGCCCCAGTTTGACCATACCGTGTTCCCAGGAGCCAATCTTAAGGGTGTGGACATGGAGGGCAGCCAGATGACTGGGATCAACCTGCGTGTGGCCACGCTGAAGAACGCCAAGCTGAAGAACTGCAACTTGCGCGGAGCCACCCTGGCTGGCACAGACTTGGAGGTGAGTGTAGAAGCCCTGGTTCTGCGTATCACAGAACAGAGTGCAGGAGAGGGTTTAAAACCTCAACTAGGATATAGGCTCTGGAACCGTGGTCTGCTTGTCTGTGGACCTTTTATAGCTTGTGTACCCCCCCCCCCCCCCCCAGCTCATCCTGTCCTCCTCCTCCTCTCCCGTAGAACTGTGACCTATCGGGCTGTGATCTCCAAGAGGCAAACCTGCGGGGCTCTAATGTCAAAGGTGCAATCTTCGAGGAGATGCTGACTCCGCTGCACATGTCCCAGAGTGTCAGATAACCTCCGGCGCCTTCCCCCAACAAACCATGCTGACCAGTATACAGTAAGCATACCAGTATGCCAAAATGGACTGTTGTATGGTTGTGAGTCTCACAGCCTTCATAGCTGGGTTGCTATTTGTGAGATGGGCTGAACAGCCTCCTCCTCTTCTGAAATATTTCTTATACCTGTCAGCCATGACTTGCCCCCCCCCCCCCCCCCCCCCCCCTGGGAAGAGCACTTTGGAATAACAATTTTCAGGATGGGATATAGAAATATTCTCCCATTCCCCATATCGGAAACACTAGGTTGTTACACTCACCGTACTCAGCTGAAGGATTGTACTTTGACATTCCACCAAATACAAAAGGTTTGGTAATTGAACCAGAAAGTGGTTGTCATGTTTACACCAATGTATAGTTTCCAAGCTAAAGTGTTTCTCTTTGGAGTAGCTACAAAAGCCCTGTGACCACTGCACTCAGAATATGGTCAGTACTATCGCATAGTTTGCATGTCCTGTCTGTGCCAGCTGTGGAGACTCTCTGCCCAAGATTTTGCTGCATTATCCATCTTGATTATGCATGCCTTGTGCACTGCTGGCATGGCTGCCAGTTCTAATCATCACTGGTGTGCTCCTCTGGAGGCAGGTTTAGACTTTCAACCATGATATGGTGTTACTTTTGTAAGAAATGCATGTTTGCGTTTTTGACAATTTTTATTGGATCAGTGAAACCATTGTCCAGCATGCTGTAATGGTTATAACAGAATAAAAACTTTCAGGATACATGTCAGTCTGTGATGTTCTTATCTGGGAGGAGCCAGCAAACCTGGGGGAATCGCCGGAATGACAGGGGGAGATCATGCAAACTCCCCACACAGGGGTCAGGGTGGAGACTCAAACCCTCATCCCTGTGGTGTGAGACGATAGTGCTAACCACTGCATCACCACCCTGCTCCCACTGTGTGCTTTAATAAAGATTTTTCTAATTTAGGAACTTTTTGTTTTGTTTGCTAGTGCTTAAGTTTTCACAAGTTGGAGATTTGGTATGCTATAATGATTTTATGTACACCCCACTGTGCCTGTGAAGCAGTTTTTTGCCAGCTAACTGAAGCTTGCGTGTAAGTCAGAAACAATCTAGGTAGCAGTACAATGTGGTCTCAGAAAAATCACAGTGGGGTCAGTATGTGCATGTCTGACGTTACGCGGTAGTTAGTTATACTTACCGAGCCCTGGAGGGGCGACTGGCAGCTTATTTTGTTATTTCATGCCCATGATGCACAAATTTGCATGCACAGTTTAGTTTAATAGTAAGTTCACCTCACAAAATTCCTTAAATGTGTGCATTATCATTTTTTATGCTTTCAATTTGCTATTTCAAGCTCTCAAATCAGTTAAGTTGTGCTCTGGTTTTGGTTATGACACTGCATGCCCTAGGCCACAGGTGTCAGACTCCAGTCCTGGGGGGCCGGAGCCCTGCACATTTTTGGGTTTCCCCTCGTATAACACACCTGATTCAACTTCTTGTGCTAATTACCACATAGCAGTTGAGCTGAATCATTTGTGGTGGAAAAGGGAAAGAACTAAGCTACACAGGGCTCCGGCCCCCCAGGACTGCAGTTTGACACCCCTGTCCTAGACTGATGCCCAAATCACCTGACTCTTTTTATACAGGAATGTAGATAGACTGATAAATCAATAGCTTCCCCCTTTTGACTCTCTTTTCACCATGACAGACCACTACAATGTCCACATAGGTGCTGACTCTGCACCAGTTCCGCTGTCAGACTCCCGTTCCATTCTTGCCTTTTGTGAACAAGACCCCAAGATACTGCCTCTAGCAGAAGAGTTTAAGTAACTCATCCTTAACCTGCAAGGGGCAATCCAGCCTTTTTCGGTTGTGAGTCATGGCCTCAGAATTGGACGTGCTAATCTGCATCCCAGGCTCTTCAAAAACCACCCAAGTGTACGTCAGAAGTCACAGATTGTTAAATACTGTCCATTAAAACGGCAGTCCTGGCAGAGTCCAACACCCACCAAGAATGAGATTGACTTTCTGCCAGTAACTTGAACCAAGCTCTCAGTCTGGTTAAACAGGGACTGAATGCCCCATAACAGCAGGCCTGGCATCCCATACTCCTGAAGTACCCCCACAGGATCCCCTGCTGTGAGCCTTTTCCAAGTACACAATACGCATGGGGGCGGCGAGTGGCTCAGCAGGTAAGGTCATTGTGCCCACGATCAGAAGATCTCTAGGTCAAGTCCTGGCCTTGGCAGAACAGTCAGCTGCCCATGGGTCCTTGAAACGGCCCTTAACCCCCGGCTGCAGGGGTTTGGGACACTGGCTGACCTTGTGCTGTGACCCCCAAGCTATGGAGAAGTAAAGAATTACAATATATTTGTGCAAATGGCAAAGTGTTTTTTTTTTTTTTTTATGTATTGACCCGGTTGAGCAAACTCCTATGATCCCTCCAGTATCCTTTTAAGCGTAAAGAGCTGGTCCAGTGTTCCATACCCAGGACAAAATCCATGATGGAGCTGTTCCTCCTGGATCCGAGGTTCGACTAGCAGATGGACCCTTCTTTCCAATAATAATTCCAATTATGTAAAACCAAACTCTAGTCCCAGGTGTAATACTGGTGTAGGCCTTCCCACAGAGGCTGAGGAGTGTGATTCCCTTTAAGCTGGAACATGCTTTCCAACCCCCTTTCTTAAAGATGGGGACCACCACCCCAGTCCGCCAATCCTGAGACACTGTCACTGATCTTCACGCAATGTTGAAGAGGACAGTCCTACAACATAGAGAATGTTCAGCAAAGAAGTACATAGAAATTCTGGCCCCCCTGAAAAAATGTTCCATTGCTCCCCACCCACCCAATATATATACATTTGTGTATTCAAGGGTCCCTATCAAGTTCTGCCCCCCTGAATCTGCCAGGGTATTCATGCCCCTTCCAAGCACCCTGGCCACAGAGTGAATCTCAGAGTGAATCTCATGCACCCCCAGAGCCAGGTCTGTCCCCTACCATCTGATCCAACTCATCAGCACATTCTTCTGCATAATCATGTACTAAATGTGCGAGTTAATTTTGGGAGTGTTGATGTGAAAGAAGCTAGCATGTTTGGCCTTCCATACACTCGCGCTCTCTCTCACAAACTCGTCCTACAGCAGTAATCAGGCAGCACGCCTTCATGTGTCTCGGAGGAACGGCTTCACACGGACGCCTGAAGCGAAGGGGTGGGATTTTTGGTTGGGGACTTTCAAAATCTGCTGATTTCTCCAAAATCGGATGCCCTACCTTGAAAAGAAAGCTGGGTAGCACAAAGTCTCAAAATAGAATAGTCCATTGTAGCCTAGACAGGGGGCAACTTTGTTTGTCCTGGACACTGTCACAAAAAATGCGAATGACAGACATGCTGCTATAATTTAAATGAGCACTTTATGTTTAGTCCATAAATGTAACTTCTGGAAATTCTGTCTTCATGTGGACCCTAGTTTCCAGATGCCCCTGGCATGTGTCTACCTTTCCTAATGGTAAAGTCCACCTCTGAATGTTTATAGATAGCATAATAAAATATTTTAGAAATTTAAATGAAGACTATATGATGCAAAATGCACAATCCCAAGAACTAACAATACAACACATTTTTCCTCTAAGTTTGCCAAGAAATGTGTTTTCAGTTCTTGATTCATAAACAAACTAAATAAGTATCAGCAATGGAAAAACAAGGTGTACTCAGTGCCCTGCATCCCATGTATCTTGTCATGCATTACTTCATCAGCAGAGGGCAGTAGAGGGCAGCTGAACAGCCTTTGGCTTGAGAACAGCACCAAAAATGGTGATAGGAAAGTTTTATCACCACAAATAAATAATACTCAGGGGTGTCGTAGGGTCATGGATACCCTGGCAGATTCAGGGAGTCAAGCACATAACAGATGCCCTTGATTACGTAAAATGACATGTAAAAGTGGGTGGGGGTACAAAGTGTTATTTCGTCCGGCGGCCCAGAATTCCAAGCTAAATGCCTGTTTATCCTAGATTTAAATTACACGTAACCACTGTCACTAACATGAAAAAAATATATATTTTGCTTTGTTGTATGATTAGTTTGACATCATAATGGAACGCAAAGCCTTTTCTCTGAGGCTGAAATCTAGGATCTAACAATAGTATGTTGAAACCATATCTCGTGTTTGGCCCTGGACGGTTTATAAACAAATTCACACAACAGGTCAGTTTAGTCATTTGGTTAAGATTAATTTCACGTGGCTTCCTCAACCGCAGTGCATTTTCCTAAGAAATTCAGTTTGTCAGCAAACTTGTGGTCAGTAAAAGAAATGGCTTGATGGTATTATGTGGTGTCGCTCATTTACAATATTTACATTTACTTTATTTAGCGGATACTATTCTCCAAAGTGACGTACAAATGATATATCTCAAGAAGTGGAAGTAGATGCCTCAAGTGCTTGTTTAGTACAAATCAAGAGTCTGGATAAACCAACTGAAAAACATTTGTGTTGCAACAAGATGATGACCCTAAGCGCACCTCAACGTTATGTAATAAGTATTATCTTGTGAACAAGGACAGAGATGGAGGGCTGTGACAGATGACCTGCCCACCCCAAAAAAATCTCCCAACCTAAACCCTATAGAGCTGGTTGGGGTGAACTGTATCGAAGAATAAGAGCAAGGTAGCCAATGAACGTGGAAGCTAGTTGAAAGAATTCCAAAAGACTGCTGTCATCGATGCAAAAGATTGCTGTTTTGTAGACTTTAAAATATGAAGCAAATTTGAGATATTCAACACTTGTCTTGGTCATTGCAATACTATGCGCTGCATACAATTATTAGGCAAATACTATTTAGCAAAATTTAGGCATACTTATAAAAGTGAAATTTTCTTTTGCTAATCTCGATGTAGTGGTCTCAATTTATTTAGGGATTAAATGTTACATAAGTCTGCCATAGACAAAACTAAAAGAAAAACACTTGATTATCAGTGTCTACAATCATTAGACCATCAGAAGCTAAATGGTTTTTTCTCCCTTCAACATCAACAGAAAAAATAATAACAGTTTAAGTTATTTAGTCCATGTAAGGAATAACAAACTGTTGTCTATTCTACACAGTCCTCTATACCAAGTTTAATGTCCTGTATAGCAACCTTTCGTGTTAATGACCACCATGAGCCTATTATCCATTGAACCAGTCAATTTTTTGATTTGATCACGTCCTATACTAGCTGAGGCAGCTTGGACCACCTCCCAGACGCTGCTCTGAGAAGTGTACTGCACGCCACCTTGGTAAAACTCACACTTTAGTAAGGCCCAGTAGTTCTCAATGGGAATTAATTCAGGTGATGAAGGGAGTCAGGTCATAATTCAAACACCTTTCAAGCTTTTCTTGGCCAATATATGGAATACTTTGATGCATGGGAAGGGGCATTGCCCTGCATCAATGTCATAACCTTTTTGAAAGCTGTTGACTTCTGACTCCTTCTTGTTCTTGAAGAAAGTATCTTCTAGAAATTGGCAGTTGTTAATTTTTATGCCATATGCAAGTTGAACAAGTTCATCACTGATAATTGCAGCCCACATCATCTCTCCCCCACCACCTTGTTGGTGCTTGAAGAAGGCCATCCATCTGCTCCACGTAGAGTTACTCTCATCTCATCTCTCCACAACGCCTTTGTAACATCAGTCTCGAGTGGAGGTCATGTTTCCGCCTTTGTGATCTTTGCAATGTCACATATCACACTGCACCTAGTGCTTCCACAGATTCTGTTC